AATCAGTTCGTGAACAACGTATTAGTGCTATTACTCGAAGTTATGAAGGTATTTTGGGAAGTATTGGAGAAGATCCATCACGACAAGGTAGAATATTATTTTCTTCTTTGTTCATCTTTTAAACTGTTATTTGATTTTTTCCTCATAGGTCTTCTTAAGACACCAAAACGTGCTGCTGAAGTATGTAGAAAATGTTAATTTGAATGTGATAATAATAATAATAAGAAAAAAAATCACCTAATCGATTATTTTCTTCATAAAAGATAAAATCAATTATATATTTTTTCTTTAGGCATTAGTTTTTTTCACAAAAGGTTACGAACAAACAATTCGCGATGTTGTTAGTGATGCTATCTTTGATGAAGAATGCGAAAATATGGTTGTAGTAAAAGAAATTGATATTTATTCTTTATGTGAACATCATATGTATGATAAGAAGTTTCTTTTATTTTGTTTGTTTTTGTGAATATCAAAAACAAAAAACAACTTAATTTTATCTAGGGTACCTTTTTTTGGTAAAGTATCTGTTGGTTATTTACCAAATAAACGCGTATTAGGTTTAAGTAAAATAGCAAGGTAATAGATTAATTTATATCAATGAAAAATCTTTCAATTTCTTTGTATAGAATCGTTGAAGTATTTAGTCGACGTTTACAAGGTTTGTAAATGAAAAAAAAAAACAAAAAAGAAAAATGAATTTTTTTTTCTTTTGAACATTGATATTATAGTACAAGAACGTTTAACACGACAAATTGCAGAAGCTATTGCCGAAGCAATTGAACCAAGAGGCGTAGCTGTCATTGTCGAATGTCTGTAAGTAATAGAAAAAACAAACCAAGAAAAATGTAAATGAATAAGTAAATCTTGTTTCTATTTTCATTTTAGTCACATGTGTATGATTATGCGAGGTGCAGAAAAAGTTAATTCACGAACAACAACATCAGCAATGCTTGGTGTTTTTCGGGAAGATCCTAAAACTCGCGAAGAATTCTTAACACTTGGTCGTATTAAGCCATTTTAATATTTACGAACAAATTGAATTTGGATTTTTCTATCATAAAATATTCTTGCATATTGCCATATTACTCATGACAAAATAAATAAATATCATCTATACAGAACGATGTTTCTTTTTTTAATTTTAAATTAAATAGAGTGTAGATGTGAGTGTGAATCTTCTCATCAGCCATAGACGCACACACTCATACCGCCGTGAGAAAATATGTGCTACTTTTAAGATCATTTTATATTTTATTTTAAGTATAACGATCGAAATTTTCGGTCTTCATAAGAACCATTTACAACCTAAAACAGAACCAATAAAATGTGGCAATTACTTTAAAATTATCTTATGAACACAACATGTTTTCTCTTGTCATTTAATTCTCCACCACTTTTAAGCTTCATTCTATCTAATTCTACTGATGCACTTGCATAAGCTTGTTCTTCACCAACGTTAATATCAATATCTCCTAATTTGTGTTTAGCAATAGATTCATCTGTGCAAGCATTTGCTTTGACCCTATCGGCTTCAACGATTGTATTCGGCTTGTCTTGAAACGACAAAATAGAAATTGCACCATCTGAATAGAGTGAAGCAATCTTTTACAATGTTGACTACATTTTCAAGAGACGATGATGTTGGATCTAATTTAAAATCTCTCAATGGTGTATTTATATCAATCTCATTGAATCCAGCATTAAATTCAAGTCCATCAACAGATGTATTTATATCTATTGATGATAGATCGATTTCAGATCAGAACTGTCAACAAATCACTAGCAAATCAAAACAATGAGACAATCATTACAAAAATTTTTCATAAAAGAAAGACTTGAAGCAGCACAATATTTTAAAACGAAGAGCCAAAAGAAAATTTACAATGAAAATGTACGAAATAAGTGATACTTAAAATAACAGACAAGGACATTTACATTTGACAATCAATTTTCGCAATAGTATGAACGAAAAATTTACTATCCAATTATTTTAGATCTAAACAAATTTTTCTGTTCGTCGATGTAAGTCCTACACAACATTGAATTGACGTTCGGTTCAAGCATTTGTTGCTATAGTCGAATAATAAGGTAATGTACATCAACATTTCATTCATAAATCATAAGAGTCAGGCCGATAGTTCTGCTTCAAATGTAGTAAGTTCAGTCAAATATTCTTCTCCAATATTATTCGAACTGCCATACACGGGTGGACAAAAGTATTCCCCCTCCTTTGATCTTAACTCCTATAAGAGCTAAACGTTAGAAAATCGGTCTATAGGTAGTCCACAGAGAATGTAGATCGACAATATCATCAGTACCAAAATTGCTCAATGCTAGAACGAAGTTATGATAGATGCCGTGCACCTCCCTTGTAAATTTCGTAACTCGATAATAGAAAGAGCTTTTGAGTCAGCCAATGATTCATTTTGTAGTCCTACATTATGGCTATTTCCAATAGAAATTTTATTGAAGTCTATCTGGTTGTTGAGAAGCTAGACCATTTTTACTGAGAACATGGATATACGCAAAAACAACAGAATGCCATTGAGAGATCAATAACTCAGTAATCGTTTGGTGGATCTATCTGAAATTTTTAAGAGATATTCTCACATAGGTGGCCATTGTTTCCTGGAGGTTTCAGAAGTAAACGCTTTCCTTTATGGAAATGGTGCATCGATCACTATCACGAACTTGTCAAGACTCTAGAGTCTCCATTACTCAAGCAAATGAGCTCATCTTTTGAGCAATAAAGGATCATAAGTTGGAGTACAAGTTCATGTTAAAAGATCGATAATTACTTGTATATTTGATTAAAAACAGCAGGTAAATTTAGTAAGGTCAATTTTAGCTATTTTCCTGCTAATATAACAAAACGTCTTCGTATATCAATATTTCACTGAGAAAATCTTTTCGAACCGTTCGAAAGATTTATGTAACAACAGAAATTCTTGTACTCGAGATATCTAAGGAGTTCTTCACCAGAATTTTCAATCAAATTGTAGTATACAATCATATGGTTTTTATAAAACTCTGACAATATCATATTTTGTAGAATGTAGAAAATAATTACTGAAGAATGCGAACACCGAAACTTATCTGTAGTATTTTTGTTATAATTACCAGCCATTTCGATCTGAATATTTCATCCTCTGATGGAGGCAGCTGGTTTGCACTGTTTTCTAAGAACGTTGAACCATCCAGAAAGATTTTCCCAGCGAAATATTGATATACGAAGACGTTTTGTTATATTAGCAGGAAAATAGCTAAAATTGACCTTACTAAATTTACCTGCTGTTTTTAATCAAATATACAAGTAATTATCGATCTTTTAACATGAACTTGTACTCCAACTTATGATCCTTTATTATTCAAAAGATGAGCTCATTTGCTTGAGTAATGGAGACTCTAGAGTCTTGACAAATTCGTGATAGTGATCGATACACCATTTCTATAAAGGAAAGTGTTTGCTTCTGAAACCTCCAGGAAACAATGGCCACCTATGTGAGAATATCTCTTAAAAATTTCAGATAGATCCACCAAACTATTACTGAGTTATTGATCTCTCAATGGCATTCTGTTGTTTTTGCATATATCCATGTTCTCAGTAAAAATGGTCTAGCTTATCAACAACTAGATAGACTTCAATAGAATTTCTATTGGAAATAGCCATAATGTAGGACTACAAAATGAATCATTGGCTGACTCAAAAGCTCTTTCTATTATCGAGTTACGAAATTTACAAGGGAGGTGGACGGCATCTATTATAACTTCGTTCTAGCATTGAGCAATTTTGGCACTGATGATACTGTCGATCTACATTCTTTGTGGACTACCTATAAACCGATTTTCTAACGTTTAGCTCTTATAGGAGCTAAGATCAAAGGAGGGGGAATACTTTTGTCCAGCCGTGTATTCTAAAATAAGACCATTGAAATATGCCGATGAATAGAAATGACATGAAAAAAACGTACTTGCTCCATAACCATATCTTAGAATAGAAACAAATAGTGTAATGTAGAGCTGATATAATTACAATGCATTAGCGGCAGAATGTTTTTAATCTAGGGTAGTCTCAGCAATCATCATAAGATTCTCACCGAAAAGTTAAGAATACGTAGGAGAAGAACGAACCTTTTTATGCCATTTATATGAAATACAACTAGTACTTCTGATTTCTTACTTATAGTTCGAACTGTCTAAAGTGAGTACGATTCAGAAAAAAAATTGAAACTTGTGTCAAACGATGTGCAGTTAAAGAAACACACCAACATTTTTTTTTAATTTAATTTGAAGTGTTGAAAGAAGAGTTTTCAAGTTACTTTACCAAGAAAGAGAAAAATGATCAAGTATCAGTGTTCACACAACAAAAAAGGAGTTACATTATGGGTTTATACACTTTCTTGAAAATATTTCTTTGATATGTAAACCTAGCCACTGAGATCTATGAAAACTTTCGACACCTTTCAATTTATCTAACTTGGATTTCTAGTACCATTTTACTTCACTTGTTACAAATGAATACTAGTTCAAACCATTGGCTATGTAGACTCCATCATATAATCATAGAAAACGTTGAAGGCAGTGAAAAATTTGGCCGTTTATATAAGAGTTTTTGACGCACTGCATAAATCTATCAAATTGATAGGATGAGAAACAAATGTTTGAGTCCACTTAACCCTTGCAACCTTCGCCGCTTATGTTACAACCCATAATTATATAAAAGAGATATTTTAATCGGCTATTATTATTAGTGATTCTTGTTTACGTTTTATATAATTTTAACTTGAACAAGGATTTTATATATTTGTCGATAAAAATTTTCTTTATATATATATTTTATATTGTTTTGAAATTAATAAGAATAATAATCTATGGATTTGACATCATTATATATACTTTGTATTACAAATATTATTATTACTACAGGTACTAGAACATGCAACAAAAAGAAAGAAAAAAGAAGAAGAAGAAGAAGAACTTGTCATCGAGAATATTAAATTCTAATCTTTCATTCTCGGTTCTGTTTTAATATCAGTTGATAAAAATCTTTGATGATGTATATGATGATATGTCTGATGATTATGATTTTCTTGTGTATTAGATTCAATATTTCTTGATCGATGTTCATCATTAATACTATTATTCATATGAGTTTTTACCTAATTAAAATAAAACAGTACAAAAATAAAAAAAAGATTTGTTTATTAAATAAACATACATACATGTTTATTAAGATGATCACTACGCATAAAACGTTTTCCACATATTTGACATGCAAATCTTTTTTCACCTAAATATAATGAGAAAATTTTTTTTTATTTACATTTGATATCCATCAGTAAAAAACAAAATAAAAAAAGAAATGGGCGTATTCCATGATAAAAATCTTATTTGATTGATGTCACCTATGATCATAGATGTCAAGCATAAATAATAGGTATTCATTCGAAGTTAATTATCATGTATATATATATATATATATATATGTTTTATTTCTCCTACGATTAGTTTTTGCTATAAGTATAGTAGGAAAAAAAAAAACAAAATAAAAATTTTATGTGATTAATACACTAAAGATGAACAAATGATTATTTTGATATTAGAAATAAAAATAACCTGTATGTGTTCTTGAATGTCTTTGAAGTTCATCACTACGAGTAAATCGTTTTCCACAAAATAACCAATTACATACAAATGGTCGTTCACCTTTAAACATAAGTTAAAATATAAAAGGATATTTTAGGTTTTCTTTTTTTTTTTTTCTTAAGTCAACCTGTATGCCAACGTAAATGTGCTTTAAGATGTGATGTTTTATGATATTCTTTTCCACATCCTGGTATATGACAATTATGAATATTTCTTTTTCGTACAGTTGATCCAGAAATATAACCTAAACGATCAGCTTCACGACAATTTGGACAATCACATTGAGCACGAGTTGTTTTAGGTTTTTTTAATGTACTTTTCGTTATTGATGATGATGATGATGATGATGCTTGAATTGTAGGTGGTGAAGGTGTATGAGATGAAATAATAGGTGGATAAAATAAACGAAATTCATGTCGATATGAATCTGTATTATATGGATGATTAACAGAAAGAAAATCATTATAATGTGTTGATTGAACATGTGTTGGATATTGAACATTAGCTGTTGTAGAAAATAATGATGATGGAGATGAAGATGTTTGTTGTTGTTCATTATGATTTAAAATAGAAGGTGCTTGATTTGTTGTAAACCATGGTTGTTGTTGTTGTTGTTGTTGTTGTTGTTGTTGTTGATGATGATGATGAATATCCATCCAAGTTGATGATGATGATGCTGATGAATTTTCTTTTAAATGTCCATTACCATTTAATAATGAATTTTCATAATGATTAATTCGAACGAATGGTGATGTTATTTGAGAATTTGAATGCATTGCTGGATTATTTACTATTGGTCGTTTCCAAGCATAGAAATTCGTTTTTGATGGTGATAATGGTGGACTTGGATTTGATGATTGAAATTTATTACATTGTGCAGCTAACATTGCTAATGGATTAACATCGAGATCCTTGAGATAATAAAAAAAAGAAACAAAATGTATTTTTCCTTTTTTGACGTTACATACCGAATTATTGTTTGTTGCTGCCATGAAATAGGATCTGAATAGTTTGTCATAGGCAATTATAGAATTGTTTCTAGAAGAAGAACAAAAAAAAAAAGAGAACTGAAATTATACGTTTCTTTCTCATGTAATCAATGAGTATGTTATGTGAATCTTTGAAGATAAAATGTTTAGCTCCACCCCGCGACAACTAACTTCAAAATAGGATGGTCTTAATAATTAGATAGGTCAAACGAGATGTATGATATATGAACATATAATTTTGTTTCTTTTTTTCTCCCTCAAATCGGAAAAAGAACTTTCCCTCTTATTTTTTTTTTTCATTGGTTGTTTTGAAAAAAAAGAATTTTCTTCTTTGAACTTGAAAAGAGAAAGACAAAAGAAGATTTATTTTATTGGATGAATGTTAGATTAGATAAATTATGATTGGTTTACATATGTTGATTTACACCTGTTTGTCATGTGACAAAATCAATTGTTTCCCCCTGTAGAGTGAAATAATCAAAGAGACTTATAACATATGGAAGGTTTATATTTTCAAGAGTTTAATTTACCACTTGATCACTAGTTTAAAAAAAAAAAGGAAAAGAAAAATGTATTCTGTTCTCATTATAATTTCCTACTGTTTTTCGACGTTAGGTTGTCATCATTAAACTAACATTTATCTTACCAATGTCTTTGTTAATCGATCGATGTCCATCTTTATTTTAATGAGAACATTGTGACTAAAACAAAAAACAAAATATGTCTTATCTATTTCTTTATATAAATTTCGTCTACCTATGGTGAGGTGTGAAAAAAAACCTTTGCTTTCAATGTCGGTAGGTAGCAGCCGTTCAAGCTTATTTTATTTTATTTTTTTTTTGTTTTATAAAAGACTAGCGCTTATTTCTTTTGATGATATATATAGAACGTATGTCGCGCCATATATCAAACTCATCTTCAAGCCTTCTGGCAAATTCAATTCGTCTTCTGCTCATCGAACCAATGTACAGATCAATCATTTTAAATATAGACATCTTTTTTAAGTTTTAAAATAAAATAACAGGTTTGATAATAGATATATAATACATATAAAGAAATTTAAGATTAACTGTCAAGTGAGATAGAACTGGTTGTCTACTCAATATGCCGCGATATAGAAAAAAAAAAAAAAGTAGATTAATTCGATTAATAGTAGTGACATGGTGTGCAAAAATGAACATATTATAGATTGTTCATGTAATGAACAAAAAAAAAATGACTTAATATAGACCGACTAATTATAGATACGAGGGAGGAGAGCAAATTATCGATGTTGGAATTCTATGTTGTTATTTTCATCATCTTTCAGTTGGATATTTGACTACTATTGTTGTAAATGGAAGGGAGTTTGATTTCATATTCTCCATTAAAGAAAACAAAAAGATCAAAATCTAGATGATACATTGCATTCGTTTGAGACTTGAGCTTGTCGTTAGTTTCTTTTTTTTTTCTTTTAACTCTTATCTTTGTGTAAAAAAAGGTGTTAATGAATTGATGTCTTCTATGTATGAGACACAACAAAAAAGAAAAATCATTTTTACGCCCATGCATTTGATCAATCCAATCAGTAAGTTAGGATGATCGTCGTCTTCCGGCATTTATACGTCAGGACAGTTGACATGATGAGCTTCCTCTCCACATTCAATATGAGAATGTTAATGATAGTCGACGCGTATACGACACAACAACTTTCGAGCAATTAGATTTTGTATATAGACTGAAGATTATTCTAAAAAAAAAAGAACGATGACTGACTTGATTCGTTAACGTTTTTTTTTCTAGCGTGCGGAACTTGATGGACAATTGTGTCTGTCAAATAATTAACAAAAATAGCAACTTCCGTTTTTAACTGTCGACCATTATTATAACTACCAATCAATGATACAACGTTTTTTTTAATTTTTGTGCTCTATACAGTATAATATAACGATTTGAGAATATGACCTGTATCAAATGATTATGTCATTATGTATATTTCGACTACCTTATAATTTTCATAATATTATCATTACATTCTTATCAATATATATGATCGATTTTTTTTTCGATTGATTAAAATTTGCGTGTGTAGAGAATCATCAAATTATTGAAGGAAGAGAGAATTTAGTTAGCTTATGTGAACTTTTCTTTTTTTTTTTAAAAAAAAAATAAAATGAATTTTAGTCGATTTTTATGCATCTTTTTTTCGATTATTTCCGAAAACACGCGAAAAGTCATGTTATTGTTGATTTTTTTCTACTTTTTGTTTTTCTGTGCAATTTCGTCATATTTACCGCAGAAAAGTGCACAAACAGATAAATATGTTACTTTTTGCATGAGATTGATCATTAAAAAAATTGTATCTTGTTTTCTATGTAGTTTGTTTCTTTTCAACTACTTTTTGAATGTCCAGTAATGGCCAACTTTTTTTCTGCAAAAAAATTAATAAAATTTAATGTTGTCCAAATACCTATATTTTGCTCTAGTTGTATAGAAATACTCTTTAGTCCATGAAATCATATTATAATTTCAATTGTATATAGAGATAAGAACATTCAGAATTCTTAGTTTTCAGCATAAGCGTAAGAAAATAAAATAACAGTTATTTAGAATAAACGTCTTCGTCCGGAATTTCTCCAACCTATATTCTTACTTGTATAATTTTTTTCGTAAGTTGTTTCCTGCCGTGACGCTTGTAGATATCATAAGAACTATTATTAGTTTGTTAACTAGAGTAGTGTACACAGAAAAATAGAAAGTACTGCACAATTAAGAATATGCTTTGAAGAAATTCTAAACGATATTATTACTGTGACAAGATTTTCATGCATCAAAAACAGACAAACGATTATTACATAAGATAAGTACAGATACGCGAAGGAAGGAAGACATACAAAGTACGTCCACATGAATTCTATGATAGATGAGAAGGGTAAAAACACCTGGAAGAAAATGTGATGATTTTAATACAAAGAATTTGTTCCATGTTCTTAAGTCATTATTGGAACTGACGCTATGTTTGACATTTATTTTCATAACTATTTTTTGATAAAAATTTTTAGAAAAATATTGACAATATTTCAGTAAAGATCAATTATAGATATTTGAAAAAACAGATAAAACTATATATTTCTCATAAGAAGAACAATATCAATGTTTTCTTTAACATCAAAAGACCCAATACTATACGAATATGTTGCAAATACTGTTTTGCTGAACTTTCTTTAAGCATAATATTATATCTTGTTTGAATCATATAACTAATCAACTTGCTCAGATGCCCTCTTCCGGTTTCAATGATCTTTTCCTATCTATAGATACTTTATAATATTTAAGTGAATACCCTAGAAAGATTTTAATTCCTATTAAAACTTCGAGAAGCTATTAAATTTTTAATATGCCTATGTACTACAGAGGCTCCTGTAGGCACCAAGTTTTCGGAAGGATCGGATTTTTGAATTTGTTTCCATTTGAAGATCTTGCATACAGTATCTTGTATAAAGAGATTCAGAATTTGAAGACTTGGTATCTTCAAGGCACGAACTTTTCAAAAATAGACGTTTTTGAAAACGTAACGAATCAGACATAAATATTTAGAAACGTTCGTGCCTCGAACATACAAAGTTTTCGAACTCTGGAATTCTTCATAAAAGTTGTTCTATGTGAGACCTACAAGATAAAATTCAAAAAGCAGGATTTTCCAGAAAATCTTTGGGTTCTACAAAAATCTCAGGTAAATAGACACAATAGTTGAGAATAATCGAAAGTTTATCACACAATTCCGAATTTTGTCGATTTATCCTTCACGATAGACACTTCTAGATCATTTTGAAGATAAAAACCAATTTTTCTCTATCATGAAGCCAATTTTTATCAGCTCTTTCATATTCATAATTACGTTCTTCAATATACTAATAAACATCCAGAATATTTATTAAAGAACTTATATAAGAATATGATAAACAAAACAAAAAAAAATATTTCAAGTTCAACTAGTGCAAACATATGAGTAAAACAAAAATTTTAAATTTTACATTTCATAAGATAATGAACTTTTAAAATGACTTATATTTGTCGATATTAGATTATTAATACGATGTAAAAATGGAATTTGAATTGTTAAAATAAAATAATCTTTATTATCAATGCCACGTTTAACTAAATATTAAAAATAATTCATTATTACCAAAAAAAAAAAAAAAAACAAATCATCTTAAAGATATAAACTTACCAGCCATATAATCATGTAAAATCGAAAAAAATTCTTCTTCAATATTTTCAATTTCTTTTAATTTATTATTTCCTAAAACAAAGCAAAAAAAGAAAATTAATAATGAATGATCGGAAAATTTGTAGACAAAATGTTTGTTCACTTTTGACTCCCTAGAAAATATTTATGACGAGAATTTTATCATCTTTTTGAACATAGCGTTAGAAATTTTGCTCAAGAGTAGTGAAATAATCTTTAAAAAAAATCCCTCACTACTCTTGAATAAAAAATAGACATAAAATTTCTAAGCCTATATTCACAAAGAACACAAAATTTTCGTTCTAACTCATTGGAAATATTTTCTAGCGGATCAAAAATAAACAAATATCTTATTTAAAAACAAAAATTTTTCTGATCATCATCCGTAAGAAATTCTACTAACCAATTGAAGTTATAAGTAATATAATCATAAGTGAAATTTCTTTATCATCAAGTTCAAGTATTTGAAGTTCTTTTTCAAATGAATATGTTAAATGATTTAATTCAAAAAAAAATGGAAAATGTTCTTGTAAATATTGACTAAATGATGATGAATTTAATGAAATATTAAAATAATTCCAATTTCTATTTATTGTACGTAAACGTAATGATTGTATACAAAGACACATTAAAATAACAGAATGATTAGATAAATGAATAAGTGATGTTTTTTCAATAAAACTAATAGAATTAAAATCTAAACAAAAAAAAAGTAAATATATATTTTCAATTGTTAATTGTTTTTTTTTTTTTCTATTAATATTTACTTGGAATT